GGTATCCAAAAATGGGTGACTGAAGTGACCTATGAGGTACATCAATTCCTTGATTTAGGGTACCTTGAGGGTACCCATTGGTATATGAGCTCCATACCAATGCCATTAGTGTTTGGAAGTCCGGTCTCATGACTGGAAAAAGACTGTAACCAGACCAGACCAAGACTGCAAAAAACCGGACCTGTAGGTCTGGTCTTTTCATTTTTGAGAAGTAAAGACTGCAAAAAGACAGTGCATTCAGTAGATACACTATGGCACCATAACAATACAAATTGGCAATTGTCCCAATAAGTCATAGGGCTACCCCAATGGGCCCAATTACAAAAGATGTTATGACACTATACATTGGCCCGATGACATAAGAATATGTATATTTGATTGTTGGGCCCAATGACGGTGCCAACATCAAAGCTAAGGGATTATAGTTTGGCCACATGGCTTAAATGGGGGCAATTTTGACTGTTGATGGATGATTGTATTAAGCTAGAGTTGAAGGTTGGGCCCAATGTAAGGCAATGGTTAAGGGAGAAAGTTGGACCCAATGGCAAAAGTTTTAAGCTACAGGTGATGGTTGGGCCCAACAGAACATAAAGGTTAACAGAACAAGTTGGGCCCAATGACCCATTGGATGATCGGGTTTTGGGCTTGGTTCCATTACCCACAGGTCTGGATAAAATGCAAAAATGTGGCTGAAATAGGTCCAGATGAAATGCAAAAATAGCTCTGGATGAAATGCAAAAATGCGGTGGAAATAGCTCCAGATGAAATGCAAAAATGTGGCTGAAATAGGTCTGGATGAAATGCGAAAATGCAGCGGAAATAGCTCTGGATGAAATGCAAAAATGCAGCAGAAATAGGCCTGGATGAAATGCAAAAATGCAGAAGAAATAGGCCTGGATGAAATGCAAAAATGCAGATCAGAATAGTACTGTAATCCCGGGATTACGCTTTGTTTGGCATCCATTCTAATTTTAGCGCATATTTAACTTACCATACGCTTCGCTTCTTCTTCTCTTTCTTTAGAACCACGACCATCTCTCTCTCTCTCTCTCTCTCATTACGCTACTTTTCCATACTCTCAGAATCATACACCTGGTTAACTTCTGTGAGTATCATTAAGTTCTTTGAGTGTTTTCTATCCCCTCTTCTAGGGGATAGTTTTCCACTTTTTTTGAAGTTACACCGCGGTCGTATTATTCACAATAACGACTGAACGCTTTTCTCGAAGGAACCCCTCGAGATCGCTCTTACCGGCATCAACGCGCGCATAATCCTTGCTGTATCCGGCGCATATACGCGCATATATCATCTCCTACTGTACGTGACACGCCGAACATACTTGTTCTTGACGCGTCGTCCTCACAGTTTACCTGATAGTGGAGGGCAACCCGCCTTGACCGCAAACCGAATCAAGTACCCGCGTGTCGATCCTGGAAAACCCTCGCTTCACACACGCATCTGCCCTTACGCAACAGCTACCGATCCTTGAAGGACTGACGCCCACTCCGCATCTCCGTAACAACCGTCAACCACCTCAACACAACCGTCATCACTCGTCTTCACCGTTATCCAGTCCTCCCTCGTCCTTTGTTCTATCAACAGACTCATCAGACGACGAAATCCACGCATATACCCAACCAAAACTGAAAATGTCGACCCTTGCGTCAGTTGAACCTACTAGCGGAAAGGCTCCTGTGCTCACTGCGGGAGACCTCACGCCAGCGGTTGCAATGGATTTCGAAAATGCAGCCCAGGACTTTTTTGTTACGAAATCAGTTCCCCTCGACAAACAAGTCGCGCTGATCCTTCCGGGGATTAAGGACATACGTATCCGCGACTGGATCACAGCGGACCGCGCACGTATCACCACTCTCTCTTTTGTCGAGTTCATCAAGGAACTCCGTGCAAATTACCTCCAGAGTGACTGGGAAGATCAGATTCGCAACCAAATCCTTACTTCCACCCTCACTTCGTCCCACAAATCATTTTGGAATTGGTCTCAGCACCTTCTCTCGCTCAACTGTCTTCTCCGTAACACCCCATCCGCGCTCGACGACATCGCTTTACACAATCATCTGGAGGCTCACTTAGATGACGAGTTGAAAGAGAAAGTCAAGCATAGCGAGGCTCGGAATGATAAAGTCTTTAAGACTTGGGTTGCCGCTGTCCGCGTTCTCGACGAAGCACGGACTACCGAGAACAAGAGACAAATCGATCTCATCGAAGGCGCCCTTCAGCGTCAAGCGAAACGCCAGGCAACCGATGCAAATGCGCTTCGTGGCCCGTCCCGTCGCAATAACTCTGCAGCATCTACTTCCACCTCTACCACCTCGAATCGCTTAGCTCCGCTTACCGAGGGCGAAAGGACCCTTCTCAATGAACATGACGGTTGCACAAAATGCCGTCGATTCTACGTGGGACATCGTTCACATAACTGCGATTTGGGTTTCCCAACTGCGAAAGGGTACAAGACCCTCACTGTAGCGGACGCGCTCACCGCTAAGAAGGCAAAAGCTACGTCGAAGTCAACCACAAAAGCAGTTTCCGCGACCATCTCCACGGTCGACTCCAGTGACGACGAAGTTACAGCAGCGGCTGCCGTCCTTCCTAATTCTCCGAAGGTTTATGCTTCGGATTCGGAGGAAGATGCTGACGTTTCTCGCTGTAATGTGAGTGCGCCCCTCCGTGTTAAACATCTATTCTGGAACTGTCAGATTCATGGTCTGATCGATGACTTTCCAGTGAAAACGAGGGCACTCATCGACAACGGCGCACACCTCGTCCTCATCCGTCCAGAACTCGCTGCTGAACTAGGCCTAAAAAAATATCGTCTCCGAGAACCTGAAATAGTCGACGTTGCCTTGAAAAACTCTGAATCGAACCATAGATGTGAACTCTCCAAATACGTTAAACTTTCGTTTACTTCCCTAGACGCCAGATGGACCTCACGAAAAGTTAAAGCCATCATCGCCCCGGGCCTCTGTGCCCCTGTAATACTTGGTCTCCCTTTCCTGCAGCATAATTCAATTGTGGTAGATCACGCAGACCGTTCGTGTATAGATAAAAAATCAGGATACGATCTTTTGAACCCCCCTCCTTGTCTTCCTCCTCCACCGCCCAAACCTCGTTTGCGAGAACAAATAAAAAATACAAAGGCGGATAAGAAATTGGTACTGGCAGAACTAATGTTGATGTGCCATGATCGCCAAAAATCTGGTAAAGGAATTCCTGAAGAAGTAGCGCCTTTTAATGTTGCAGGCGCGATCCGCGAACGCGTCGAAACACTCGCTGCTGAAGAGGCCCTTCAAAAGCGAGAAAAAGGAATTAAATCAGAATTCAAAGAAATTTTTGAACCCATCCCACACATAGATGAACTACCTACAGGAATCGTCGCCGAAATACATTTGAAAAATGCAGAAAAAACAATAAAAACGAGAACATACCCTTCACCTCGCAAATACAAAGAGGCATGGCAAATTCTCATTCAACAACACCTTGATGCCGGTCGTATACGCCCGTCATCATCTCCATTCGCTTCACCAGCATTCATTGTACCTAAAGCGAACCCGAATGTATTGCCGCGGTGGGTCAACGACTACCGTCAACTAAATGAAAACACGGTGACCGACAGCCACCCACTTCCGCGCATCGATGATATATTAAACGATTGCGCGAAAGGCAAAATTTGGGCAACTATTGACATGACGAATAGTTTTTTTCAAACCCGAATGCATCCTGATCACATTCCTCTAACCGCCGTCACCACTCCATTAGGTCTATATGAGTGGCTAGTAATGCCCATGGGGTTGAAAAATGCACCAGCGATACACCAGCGACGTGTCACCTTGGCCCTACGACAATACATTGGGAAAATCTGCCATATATACCTTGACGATATCGTAATCTGGTCTAACACTATTGAAGAACATGTATCTAACGTGCAGACAATACTCCAAGCTCTCCATGATGCACGTCTGTACGTTAATCCTGACAAAACACATTTATTTTGTCGGGAAATCGACTTTCTCGGTCATCATATTAGTGCACGCGGAATCGAGGCAGACTCAAAAAAGGCCGACCGTATTCTGGCATGGCCACAACCTAAATCAGTCACAGACGTCCGCGCTTTCCTGGGTCTTGTACGTTACTTGGCGGCTTTCCTTCCTGCACTGGCTGAACATACCGGCATTCTAACGGAGCTCACAATTAAAGAATGCGAGAAAGCCTTCCCAACTTGGACGGATCGCTATCAAACGGCTTTTGACAGCATCAAAGCAATTGTAACCAGTCGGGAATGCCTGACAACAATTGATCTGTCCAAGTTACCAGAATACAAGATTTTCGTCACCACCGATGCTAGTGACAAACGTTCGGGGGCCATTCTATCCTTTGGCACCACTTGGGAAAATGCGCGCCCTGTCGCTTTCGATTCTATGACATTCAAAGGGGCCGAACTGAACTACCCTGTCCACGAAAAGGAGCTACTTGCTATCATTCGTGCCTTGAAGAGGTGGCGAGTGGACTTACTTGGGTCCCCCTTTTTCATCTATACTGATCATAAAACCTTGGAAAACTTCGTGACACAAAGGGACCTCTCACGCCGCCAGGCACGGTGGATGGAATTTATGTCCCAATTTGACGCCAAAATCATCTACATCAAGGGCGAGGACAACACAGTGGCTGACGCGTTGTCGCGCTTACCCTACTCGACTTCCTCACAAGAAGCAGAAACCTCTGCCCAACATCCTTACAACTTCTGTCCGGATGATGAATCCGAAAACATGATTGCAAGCATATTTCATTGCACTACCCAGGGCCCTCGCGATGCAGCTAAATCACTCGCACATGCGTCAGACGATATGTCTTCCGTCAACGCGACCCTTAAAATTTCGTCTGATGAAACCTTCTTGCAGGACATCAAAGCAGGGTACGCGGAAGATTCATGGTGTAAAACGTTACCCTCTGCAGCCCTAAGCCTACCGACACTCCAACTTCGCGACGACCTCTGGTATATTGGCAACCGGCTGATCATTCCACGCACCGGGAGCTTGCGCGAAACCCTATTCATGCTCGCACACGACACTCTGGGCCACTTCGGTTTTCACAAAACCTACGGATCCCTGCGCGACGCTTATTATTGGCCAAATATGCGACGTGATCTTGAAGAGGGTTACATCAAATCCTGTCCGGAATGTCAACGCAACAAAAGCAGTACGACAAAACCCCTTGGTCCTTTACATCCCCTTCCCATTCCAGACCAACGCGGCGACTCTGTCGCTATTGACTTCATCGGACCGTTACCGGAAGATGAAGGAAAAAACTGCATAATCACATTCACTGATCGTTTGGGAAGTGACATCAGGATCATCGCGACACGCACCGATATCACAGCCGAAGATTTAGCCACTCTTTTCTTTGATGAGTGGTATTGCGAGAACGGGTTACCAGCTGACATCGTCTCCGACAGGGATAAACTCTTCGTGTCGCGGTTCTGGAAAGCGTTACACCGTCTCACAGGTGTTAAACTGAAGATGTCAACTGCGTACCACCCGGAAACCGACGGCGCCAGTGAACGTACCAATAAAACAGTAAATCAAGCTCTCCGTTTTCACGTCGAACGGAACCAACTGGGTTGGGCACGCGCGTTGCCTCGAATTCGATTTGACATGATGAACACCGTCAACAAATCGACTGGCTTTTCGCCTTTCCAACTTCGCATGGGCCGAAGCCCCCGAATCATCCCTCCTCTTGTACCCGCCAAATCGAATGCTACCGTCACGGACATTGACACATGGCATGTAATACGGAAACTGGAGACGGATGTTCTCGAAGCGCAGGACAACTTGTTGAAGGCTAAGATTTCACAATCTACTCAATCGAATAAACACCGCACACTGAAGTTCCCGTTTGAAATAGGTTCTCGTGTGCGATTATCAACATTGCATCGACGGAACAATTACAAGGCGAAGGGCGAGAAGCGCGTCGCAAAATTTATGCCTCGCTATGACGGCCCTTACACCATTATCGACGTCGACGAGGACCACTCAACGGTAACACTCGACCTCCCGAATTCTCCCAACATCTTCCCTGTTTTCCACACATCCGAAATCCTTCCCTACATTGAATCCGACACATCTCTATTTCCTTCCCGCCATCTTGAAGAACCCCGCCCTATCATCACTGAAGACGGACAAGAAGAATACTCGATCGATAAAATATTGGACGCGCGCCGACGAGGTCGTGGCTACCAATATCTCGTTCGTTGGTCCGGCTACGGCGCAGAACACGACAAATGGCTCCCAGGCTCTGAACTTCAAGATTGCGAGGCTCTCGACCGTTGGTTAGAATCGCGAGTTGGTTCACCTTAATTTTAGGTAGCTTTCTTTCGACCTTGCCAGCGGTAGCTTTTTCCCACTGGGTTTTGACGCACCCGCGCTCGGATTGCACTTACATCTTCAATTACTAACATCTTTTTTTTCCGTTCCTTTTTCTTTTTTAAAGCGGGGGAGGGTGTAATCCCGGGATTACGCTTTGTTTGGCATCCATTCTAATTTTAGCGCATATTTAACTTACCATACGCTTCGCTTCTTCTTCTCTTTCTTTAGAACCACGACCATCTCTCTCTCTCTCTCTCTCTCATTACGCTACTTTTCCATACTCTCAGAATCATACACCTGGTTAACTTCTGTGAGTATCATTAAGTTCTTTGAGTGTTTTCTATCCCCTCTTCTAGGGGATAGTTTTCCAAGTACCAGTCATCTCCAGGGCCTGCACCAATGTTTAACAGATGTAATTTTTAACTGGACCAGACAACCCCCATGGAATACTCCAATGTCCAAAATTTAGTACTTCAAGTGCCTGAAAACATGGCAGAAAAACATCCAGATTTGTATTTAACATGCTGAAGGTCATTACCCCGAAAATGCGGCCGAAAAAATGTCCGGATTTGTGATTAACTTGGTGAATGTCACTGCTCCGAAAATGCGGCCAAAGAAACATCCAGATTTGTATTAGTGCACCAATGTCCGAAATTTCAGATGTAATTTTGATACAGACAAGACAACCCCTGTGGAATACTCCAATGTCCGAAATTTAGAACTTCAGGCACCTGCACTAATGTCCGAAATTTCGGATGTAATTTTGACACAGACCAGACAACCCCATGGAATACTCCAATGTCAAAAATTTAGAACTTCAAGCACCTGAAAATGCGGCCGAAAAAACATCCGGATTTGTGTTTAACATGCTGATATGCTGTTCAATGTGTACAAGTATTATTTCCAACGTGTATTTTTCCTTGCAATGCATATTTTTGTTTGAACTCCTCCCTTTTTCCACGTTTTTTTTTTCTTCTCCGCATATTTTTTTTTTCCTTCTGCGTATTTTTCCACATCACACTGCGTATGTATTTTATTCTTTGTTCCCCCGCATATTTTATTACCGACACATATTTTTTGAAAAGTTGTATACATACAGCTTATCTAATCAACCTGATTAAAGGTAAATTACAAGTACAACGTTCAACGGTCACAAAAGAGCCTTTCAGCTCCCTCTCAACAAACTCAGCAACATCGCAAAATGCCAATGGCTTGACTGGGTGCAAGAGCTGTTTCGCAACCTTTTTCCACCAGAAATCACGCCAAATCAATATGCACACCGCCTGATGGGTCTCGCACTCCCATGAAGGATCAAAAGTCATCGGAGGTGGATAGGCAGTGGTAAGCTTCCGTTCACACTCAAGCATTTCACAAGCCTTAGCGATAATGCTGTAGACTTTGACTCCAAGATTATTTGCCTCCTCCTCTGATATGGTTGAGAGCTCGGATTGCAAGATGATTTCGATGGCAGCCGGACCCAATCATGGACTGAGAACATCCGAGCAAGCTGGATGCGATGACTGGGTGGCATGAAGACTCTCTCAAGGTGATGGACAGCATACGCAACACCCTCGTCGATCTGCCACATCTGGCAAACTTTGAGCAGGTTGATATAGACACGTCCTGGATCTGTGGGTTGTGTCCAGGTGCTTCGTTGAATCAAAGTGAGTCTCTACTCTTTGAACCAATTGACACGTAGCTTACATCTTGTAAATCCACATCAGGAAGTCGTCAAATGCTTCCTGCTTGATTCCATGTAAACGGATAGGGTTTTCTTCGGTCCCTTGGGGTGTAGCCTCAGCAATTACAGCATGTGGGATGGTGAGGAGATCATTGAACACAGGGGAAAGTTTTTGCAAGATGCTTAGATGGAGGCAGTAAGTAAAATCCTTGACCTGTATCGTACGTTCTCAACAAGGATTATTTTCAAAGTCACAGGTGAAATACCTGAAAAATCATTGAACCGTCATGGTGCCAGTGGTTGGGATGATGCTGGTGTGATGCAATGGCCATGGTTGGGGGAAATAGTGGGGATTGGTGTAGGTTTCGTAGTGGTGTCGATGCGACAGGGTCCACCCGGCTATGCTCCGACTTCTGCTTCCCTGGATCAACTTAGGTTTTTGAGTTAGCCATTGCTGCACGAAATGTGATAGCCAAATGCCACCAATTCCACCCCTTCCAGATCATCCGCACTCCACGCCGTGGTCAGCGAATGTTTATCAGGCATACCAGATAACCTCTGACAACTGTCGCAATGCCATGGAAGTACTTTTGCAGGAAGCTGACACTGTTCGACTCAGGCTTCATGCTGAAACATTGATCAATGATGTCGTTCCCATTCTTAAAGGTCTTGAATTACATTTCGAGCAGGAAGGAATTCCAAAGGATTGGTTGCATCATTGCACAAAGATAGTCGGTAACCAGATTGTTGAGTTGTGTCAAGCATGTATAACTGCTGAGAATCATTGAGAGACATCATTTCAACACTTCTGCAGCTGACGAAATTTTGTTCAGAGACCAAGCTACTGTCGAGTATGTAAACCCTATAACTCGTATCAAAACCGGGAAGGCAGGTCAACCTTGCAAACAAGTCGATGCAAGTTTTCTTCGTGAAGCAATGTCATCAAAGCGCCGAATTTCGCAAACAGAACTTGCAAAAATTTTGGGAATTCATCGCCATACTCTTCGGCATTATCTTCTCAGTCATGGAGTTTACTACAAGTGGACTCAGCTCTTGAATAGTGATCTCGACATCCTTGTCAAGACATATCGAATGACGAAACCTGATTCAGGAATACGATATCTCATCAGCTATCTACACTCCCATGGTATTCGGATCCAAAAGTGATGTGTGACTGCATCCATAGAATGGGTGGATGGACTTGGGTGAGTGCTATGCCAGTGCAGAACAATACATCGTCGCAAGTATTGTGTGTCAAGGCCCAACTACCTCTGGCATGTTGACGGACACCACAAGTTGATACTTTGGGGTATTGTTCTTCATGGATTTGCGGATGGCTGTGATCGGACAGTATGTATTTAATGACATTTCACACATGGTCGTCTATATTGATTGATGATGTAGATGATAAACCTATGTGCAAGCACAAACAACCGAGCCACAACTGTCCTTGACGTATTCTTGGAGGCCGTTCAAATATATGGCTTTCCTTCGCGGATTCGTGGAGATCGGGGATGGGAAAACAAAGCCTTGTCACTGTATATGATCCTCAAAAAGGGATTGAACCGTGCATCTTTCATCTGGGGATCGTACGTCACTTCCCTTATCACTACTCAAACTCTACAAACACTTGTTCTCCACCTTGTAGCTCTACTCACAACACCCGAATTGAGAGAATGTGGGTGGAAGTAGGGTCACAATTTGTATGCCGCTGGCGAGCATTTTTCTACCGGCTAGAGTGCCTTCATCATCTTGAGCACAATAACGCAACTCATCTGTGGCTCCTCCATTATCTGTTTCTTAGCACGATAAATGATGATTGCAAGGCCTTTCAGAAAGAGTGGAATGCCCACCCGATTTCGGGTGAAGGCCATGACCAGAGTCCAAACGTGAGCAACATCTTGACAGAATTTTCTTTCAATCCTCACCTACATTACTTAGGACATGCGACTGCTGGGAATGGTTGAAAATGGTATCTATATTGATGACTGTGAAGGTCTCCACCCAGATATCATCAGCTGTTATTATGGAACTCATGGTGACACTCAGTCTTGTGAGGACGGCGACACAGGTGCAGGTAATCTACTTGATGAGGATATCCCCACTGTTGGTCCTGATGTTGAGATTGACGAAGACGACTGGCAGGAGTTTGGGGAGGATATTGAAGCTGCACAAGCTATGAATTTCCATCATGATGCTGTGGGTGTTCCAAAACATGCTGATCCCTTCACTGGCAAGCATGAACACTATGCCTTTCAGTCTGCTCTGGCCTACAGTCAGGAGCATGGCATGGTTCTGTCTGGCTATGGACTTCTTCATAGTGAGTGGGAGGAAAATTCATATCCGTCATTTGAAATTCTGTGATCTGGTCGACGTGGGGGAAAGGAGCTTCGTATTGCCATGCCAGACTTCATCTGGATGCCTCGAGCAGAGCTCTGGGGTCAAGCACTAGATATATTGAATCGACTTAAGCATATAAGAGGTAGTACCGAATAGCATGTAGTTTGAAATCATTGCAATTGTGGATCCAACTGGATCCAGGACCATCGTAAATGGGTCCTATATTCCCCTGAATATATTGCCCCTGGATTGAGATCCGTTTAAAATGGTCAGGCGAAAAGTGAGCACTGCGGAACGCCCACCACCATGTCTGCACTGTTGCGTTCCACCTGATGTACTGCTCTTGACGACGACACAGGAAAACAGTGTACTTGTCTCAAATCTATGCTTCCTAATGATCCAGACCCCGAGAAGCCCCTCCACTGCATCAAATGTCTCCATGGACCAAGTCTTCATTGTGGTTCTATGGCCGAGGAGAAGGAGGACTCTGTTGATGACATTCTGCACAGCCTTATGAAGAAGCCTAAGTCAGGTAATCAGTTGCAAGCCTTCAAAGATGCGCATCAGGAGTCGGAAGCAGGACTCACAAGGAAATTCAAGGAGTCAGCAGGGAAGGGGAAAGTGAAGCAGAAGGTATGTTCATCACAACCCCCACGAACTTTTCCAGTGTTCATTAGCGTCGTAAATTGCAGGGAAAAGGAAAAGCCAAACTTGCCAACAAATCCAGTGCGATCTTTAAGGTACTGGTGATCATCGTCAATCCTGAAGGGGTTTACTATGATGTAAGTACTAGTTTTCATATTATTAACTCACTCACACCCTTACAGAGTTCTGGAAATGTTCAACTTGTTGAAGATCGTGTTCCTGATAAGATCGCTATCCAATTAGCAGTTAAGGATGGCCTGGCTTATCAAGAAGACAATGGAACTGAGCTGCAGATGGACTGGTCGTCCGAAGAAGTAAACAATGCCTTTCGCAGATTCTTCCCAAAATTTTTCGACTACCTTGATAATAAGCCTGATGATGTGTCAGATGGTGATGAGGATGCAGCGGCTGTCTTGCTGCCGTGGTTCCTGTGCTTACCCTCAAAAGCACCAAAAGGTCGTCGTCTCAAGATTGTGCCGAATTTTGCTCCAACTGGAAATGCTTTGTATTTCAACAAAGGAATGAGCAAGGCGAGCTATAGCGAAAGCTTCATTTTCATCGGTAATGTGTTATTGATCTTGCGAACTCACCATTGACTCCAAATTGGTGTGCTACAGCTACCCGCGACCCACTGCCCAACTCCCTTCTGAAATCACTCCAAGGTGGCAAAGACATCCTGTTCCAGCAATCAAGGGACAAGAGTCGAGATAGGTGTAAGGAGTTGTCTACTTCGTTGCAGGCTGTGCTTGTCACTCATTCACTCTCATTCCAATCCAGATGCGGAGGATGAAAGTCAGGTCGAACATTCCAAAGGGGGTAGAAAGCGATGGTCCCGCAAATGAGCACGATCATCTTCAGAGTCAGGCAACGACTCAGCTCCGGATGTCGATGGCCATGATGACAAGGCCATGATATCGTGACAAGGTTTGTACTTGCATTGGAACTCCGAAAATGTACATATGGATGACCGTCCTCAAACTCATAGAACTTTACCTTCACCCAAAGAAACGGATCATGGCAAACTCAAAGGATGACCTCGGAACTGAAAGTACATCCATATACATCATCACTTAGAGCAATATCCATTTTGTTGACTCTTGGCCTAGTAGGATCAAAGTCACCCTCACCTGTTGCGGCCCCTTCTCGCCTTCGCAGGGGCATATCCACCCCACCACAGGGCAATATGGTTTTAGATCTTACCCACTCCGATGAAGAGACTGTCGCCACAACTTCAGTACCCTTGCTATATCAGATCGAAACCCCTCCTCGGCCAACTATCCAACCTGATCCAGCATACAGCAACGTCTCAGATGTGGACCCTGACTTGGAAAATCCTTGGATGACAGGCCGAACTTTTGCCTTCTAAAACCTCGGAGGACAGGCCCTGCTTCCACGTTTTCATCTGGAGTTTTCTCAAATGAAATTAGTCCGTGGTTCGCTCTTATTCATCGCCACTCACTCTTCATTGTTATCTCCCTCAATACCCTATACCCTTAAGGCCTTTCTTATTAAGATTTCTTTCCTCAATGCTTCTACCTCCTTTGTTACTGGCTTCTGTCCTGGCTTTGCTCTCCTTCAACATCAATTACCTTCAAATATAGCTTTGTTTTTGTACACTGTGCAATTCATTAGCATTGAGCACTTTCTCCTGTAAATGTCTTATGACTTGCAGTAAGCATTGAAAAGTCGAAAGCTCAAAAAAGGAGCTTAGATTTTGGTGAACGGTCGGTAGACATATATCTGTGTTAGTCTTTCTACAGGAAAATTGCATTTGAAAGTTTGTACAGTTTGTAAGAATCAAACCCATGGCTTCAGGAATCAGGTGCACCAGACGTTATACACAGACCATTACACCAAGTAGGCATTTCTAGCTGTTGTGTTGACAGTTCTATGACCCCACATGATGGGCAGGTCATATCTTGCGTGAATGGTAATCTGATCTCTTTGCTAACTCACAGTTGTAGAAAGCATGGAAAACATCCTTAAAAATATGCATACAAAATGGTCTGGAAATACGCGGACAAACCGAAAAAGAACGCGGACAAACTGAAAAAAACGCATCACCAGAAAAAAAAAACGCGGAGCCCGAAACAAATACGCGGAGCCCAGAAATAAATATGCGTTGGAAATAATACTTGTACACATTGAACAGCATATGCTGAAGGTCATTGCCCCAAAAATGTGGCCGAAAAAATGTCCGGATTTGTGATTAACTTGGTGAATGTCACTGCTCTGAAAATGCGGCCAAAAGAACATCCGGATTTGTATTAGTGCACCAATGTCTGAAATTTCAGATGTAATTTTGACACAACCCCTGTGGAATGCTCTGAAGTCCGAAATTTTGTAGGTCATTTCCATCCAGATGTATTAATCCCCATAGAGTGCACCAATGTCCGAAACTTCAGATGTAATTTTGACACGGACCAGACATCCCCTGTGGAATGCTCTGAAGTCCGAAATTTTGCAGTCTATTTTCATCCGGACATAAATGTCTGAAATTTTGGATGTAATCTTTGATCACCCAGAGTGTACCAATGTCCGAAATTTCTGATGTAATTTTGACACAGACCAGACAACCCCTGTGGAATTCACTGAATTCTGAAATGTTGTAGGTCATTTTCATCTGGATGTATTATTCTCCATAGAGTGCAACAATGTCCTGAAGTCCGAACTTTTACAGGTCATTTCCATCCAGATGTAATCTTTCTTGTAGAGTGTACCAAGGTCCCAAATTCCAGATGCAATTTTGACACAGACCAGACAACCCACAGAATGCTTTGATGTCCAAAGCTTTCTAGTCTATTTTCATCACGACATAATGATGCCCATGAAAAATGTCCAGATTTGTGTTTAACATCCTGAACGTCATTCCTCCAGAAATCCACTGGAAAGTTTGTCCAGATTTGTCCATAACATGTGGCAGGTCTATCCCCCGAAAATGCAGCCGAAAAAATGTCCAGATTTGTCACTAAAAGATGTCCTGCCTCAAGTGTCTTCTCTTTGAGACCACAAAAGTTTGTAGTGTATGCTTTCTAGACTACAAAATTTTGTAATGACTTGTTGAACTCAGGCAGAACTCCCTCAATTCTTAATCGATTGCGATGTTCTTGGGCTCGTTTTGATGGGTAAACCTGTACAGTTGCAGATACAGGTCAGGTATGGGCCACTGGTGTGATACCCATGGGTTTTTGTACTGTCCTTGATCATGAATAAGTACATGGGTTCATGGGTCTATGGTTGAAGAAGTGAGAAGGGTGGACATTTTTCCATTGCTATATCATTGGTTTACTATGTATGAGTATATATATGTTCATGGAGATATGGTTCAAGGAGTGAGAATGACAAAGTTAAATCTTAAAACCAAGTGGTACCACAATGTCTTGAAATGGTCCATCCATTTCACACCTTCAACAATAGTCCTATGAACCTACATAATTCATAGTGAAGGATTATATCTCAAAAAAGCGGACTACATACTTTTAAGTTTGTAAAACTGGAGACTAATGAATAAGTACATATGTTCATGGGGATGTATGGTTGAAGGGGTGATACAGATGGTGACAGCAATGGCAAAATGCCCACTGTTTCCACTCCTTCAACTATAGCCCCCTGAACCTATATACTTATTCATAATAAACCAATGATACAGCAATAGCAAAATGCCCACCCTTCTCACTCCTTCAACCATAGACCCATGAACCCATGTACTTATTCATGATCAAGGACACTACAAAAACCCATGGGTATCACTGGTGTTGCACAATCCTTGGTAAGTGTGATGACCAGTGACATGCTGTGACATAGTGTCACAGGGCCAATTTCTTGAGACATGGACTTTGTACCTTCCACAACACCAATCCAATATATTTTTTGCAGTGGGTTTGAGGGAATGATGTGATTTAATCCACTGAGAGAGTTTTCCATGTAGATATTGTATTTATTGCCCCAAAAATGCGAAATCAGCTTGTTTTCCCTGCCAAATTTGGCACTCTGGAGAGATTGGACTATAACTTTCCAACCACAACACATATGAACATGGTTTGTGGGAGGATATTACTTAGAATTTGAATTCCAAGACTGGGTGATGAAGATGTGCCAGGTGCAATTTTGACTATGTAGAAAGCTATCCTAGGCACTCAAGATGTGAATCCAAGGGGGTGCCGGCATTGAAAAAAAAGACCTGGGGTCGATTTTTTTGTTAAGGCAACTTGAGGGGGACTAACTGACTAACATAATCAGGCACGTGTCTATAAATAGCAATATGACATCATCTGTGTTAGCGCTTCCCCTGCATCCTCTCCCAGATGCCACACAAGCCACGCAAACCGCCCTTTTCAGGGTTCGAATTGCTATGAGACTGTTGGAGCGTAGAAAGTAAGTTTCTGTTATCAATCCAAAGGTATTGATACCAATTTGATAGACTCACGGTGCATGCTGTCAAAGGCACCTCAAAGTCCATGGACTTTTGCACAGGAGCGAACATCCTGCATCCAGTCTTCCCCAACCTTGTCAGATGAGACATACTGTATATTTTTCAATATTGTTTGTATTTTCAGTCCACAGCGAAGTAGTTTGCTAGTAATGAGGATGTGAGTGCGCAATATTGCGACCCAAATATGGCAGGAAATGAATAAATACCCTATATCACTCGTTTTTCTGCTGCTGCATGGCTTCTATTGGAGCTGTAGTCATCCTAGTACATTCTGTAGTTATCACAGGTACTCTTTTTGATGATATAAGCCCTCTGCTCAAGGTGTCCATTTTTTTTTCACAGCCTGTGGCTGGACTAACTAACCAGACCCCGGTACGGGATTCCCGGGCCGGCACCCCCTTGTGTGAATCCCTCAATCAATTTCTTCTACATGGCCATAAGTAAGTGACTGGTGTCTCAATTTGATGTATAGTCAATGAAATTTTGTCCAGCCTCACGGTGACACCTTGAAAGGATCAGAGCCAAGTGGTCTTGGGCACACACAAACTTGTTGACACCAAAAAGCACTCCGGAAAACCTCTACCATGTATTTCTGTGCAGACCGTGTATCATTTGAATTTACAGAACCCAAATGTTACATTTAGCACCACCTGCTCCAGTGGTCCGATTGCCATTTTCCTTGTCTCTTCACTGTCTTTCTCCTCTTGAACAAGCCTCCCTGCACACCCTGCACCACGAAAATGCACACCCACTGCGCACCTCCATGCCCTAATTGGCATCGTCTTATGAGAACTCTTTGACACCCTCCTTTAGCATTTGGGAGGGGAGTGCTGTTGCTTGGATTTTTGGGTCATCAAGACAGATTTTGTAAAGGGTGCTTACCAAGAAGTCTACGGTGCCAGATTGGTTCAAAATACATGTTTTATGACAATGCCTGCGACCTTACTTCAACTTGAAAGTTATTGTGAGGCTTGAGCCCAGGTTCAAAATTGACACCTGTTTCGCTATGTTTGACAATGGCTCTCAAAGAATAGTGTGACAAAAAAACGGGTCTGTAACAGTATAAGAACGATTCCTTACGTAAACTCCAGGACTCGTAATATGGTAGTGTAGACCTTACACAAACGTTGACGTTTTCAAAGGGTAGTTGAAGCCATGCCGAGCGCTCAGCTCTCGGAATCACGACATGCGTACATCGATGGTATTGCGATTATTGCACAGCATCAGGCGGAATAACGACAGTGGGGTGTTGGTAGTTGTAGTACTGTAGCATTTCAATCAATTCGACGGTCACGCGTCACGGGGCCCTTCAAGTTGCTGAAATGTCACGGTGGTCACGCAGATTTCCGTAAGGTGTCGAATTCATCTGGTGGTCATGTGACAAATGTCAAAATTTTTCGTCGCCTGCGGCACTAAATAGTCGAAAATTTGCCCAAAATTTCGGCTTGTCACGGCGAATTTCTGAGGTTGTCGAAATCAAAATTTCGACAGGCTTGTCACGCGTCACGGGCCCTGTCGAATTGAACGAAATGCTACAGTAGTATGTAATAGCAAGATCTTGACGGGTAGGTAGGTGGAGGTGATACAGTACGGAAACAGTGTTCTAAGATGGTTGATTCATCATCATCAATGGGCGTCGTGAGATTGGCGAGCTGGCCAAGTCGAGTCGGCGGCGGTGGTGATAAAAGTGGGAGATGCCTTGGGGGAGGGAAGAGAAGAAGGAGAGATGATGGCGGACGAAAAAGTAGAGACCAAGGTGGGGGCAGTGTACGGAAAAGTAGAGGTGACCGGAGGACTGACGCCTTTGGGGGGGAGAAGAAGGAGGATGAGGAGGGGTGATGGATGTAAATGTATCAGGGTGAGGTCAGGTGATGGCGGACGAAAAAAGTAGAGATTGGAGGAGGGAGGGACATTGGACGGAAACGTAGAGGTGACCGAGAGTCGGGGAAATTTACAAGTGACCGAGAGAGCCAGGGTGGGCTCCGTCGAGGATGGAAATAGAGGCGCCAGTAGAGGGGACGATTCATCCGAATGACTGTTGACTGTTGACTGTTGACAGACAGGGAGAACGAGGTATGTGTATGTGCACAAAACACAAACACCAACACCAACGAGAGAGAGGAGGAAGAGTCGAGAAAAAGTCGAGAGTGAGTGGAAAGAAAAGAAATGGCTAGGAATACACTGCATGCATTGCGTGGGTGTCTTTGAATTCTTGGTTGGTTTGGGGTGGTGTACGACGTGCGGACACAATACTAATACCTGCTATAGCTTTACTAGATGGATTGACAGATGGATTGCTTGGAAGGATGGTTGTTTGGAATAATAGGTGTTCCACCTTGATGTAGAAGGATGGAATTGAGGTTGGGTTTGATACTGGGGCTGCGAAATACACAAGAACGGAACCTTGAGCTTGAGTGGCCTTGACGACAGGGAGAGAGGGGGGAAAATGAAAGATTCAGGAGCGGTTGCTAGCTGCAAGATTGAAAGAGACGGACGTGAAAGTAGAACGGAATAACTTGACGTAAACCATGAAAAAGGAGCGTAGAAGGACCTTGAAAGGGTCTTGACCACTGATGAAGAGGCTGGATTATCGATAACAAAATCTTGGTTATTAGACCACGGGCAGAATCACTCCAACCGCTTATCAGTAACAAAGTCTTGGGTATTGACCACGGGGGCAGAAATCACTGCAACCGCGCCAAATACTCTTGCCAAAGCGTATCCACAAACGCCCTGTCAGTCTACATCATACCCCAATCAGCCCTCTTTTTTCTCTCTCACAAAAAAACGAAAGTGAGAAAAAAACGCACATGAATGAGCGTCAACACCTCCCTCACAAACTCATTCCTCTCCATCCCCACCGCGACTCCGAGTCTCGGCTGGGCATTCAAAGCAGCCACAATACTTCCCCGGACTAAATCATGTCCATTTCCATTTCCATCTTTCTCCTCCACACCAACATGCCCATGCCCATTCCCATTAACCTTGGCAGCCGACCCAGATCCATTCAAACTTGAAGCAACCTTACTCCCCTTCCCGGTACCACCCCCATTAGTCTTTCCAGACATAGTAGGCGTCATCATGTCCGACGAGGGTATCCTCCTCGGTGAGGGTGTATGCGCAGGAGTGTGCACCGATCTTGGAGGCGTATGAACACGCATTTGGGGCGTATGGATCGACTTGGGAAGCATATCCGCTGGCACTTGCGGCGTATATACAGACCTCGGAGACGGAGGTGTATGCACCGATATCTGAGGCGGCACATACACAGGCATCTGCGGCGTCGTATCTTCAAGAGAAGGCGACAAAGGCGGCGAGGGAGAAGCAGGCGGCGAAGTAACAGCCTGCGTAAGATACTTCGTCGTCGTCGTGGGTTTAACTTGCTGAGGCTGCTGCTGAGGTTGTTGCTGCTGGTGCCCTTGCTGCACCCCCTGCACCGGCTCCCGCGGCGCACAAAACCCAGGAACGTCCCAACTCCTCTCAATCTCCTCCCTCTCCCTCTTATCCCTCTCCCTCCTCGTCGTCTTTTTCTTCCTCCCCTTCCCCTTTTCTCGTGAGCTGCTCCCTTCTACAACACCACTATGCGAGCTCTGCCCATCCTTCCGCGATCCCAAACCCCTCTTCTGCTCCCTCAAAGCCCTCCTAAACGCATCCAAATCACTCAACACACTCGTTTCCTCAAAATCAAGCTCAACGATATCCTCCTCCTCCTCCTCCTCCTCCTCCTCCTCTCTCGGGTCATGTTGCTCTTCCTCTTCCTTGTGTTGTATTGACGGGTACGGCCACAGTTCCGAATCAGCTTCGAACGGCACCAGTTCCCTATTCGCCCTTGGCTTCACGCTCGCACCCGCCTGGTGGTGCGCGGACGCATTGGCATTCGCGCCCTGGTGCGTGGACGCACGAAGCACACTCGGCCCAGAAGACGACTCCAGCCCCCTAATAGTAGCAACCGACGAAGTCGCCTCAATCCCCAGCGGAGGGTCCGCCCTATGGGTATGACACCGCCCATTCAAGAACGCACGCGGCGTAACATCCCCATTCACCTTTCCATTTCTCACCCCACCATTCCCCAACACGCTTAGGAGCCCATTACCACGTCCACTAACAGGCGACCCCTCCTCCTCCTCATCATCCCCCTCCCTAGAACTAGGATGGCTGCTCGATGCAGCTGAGGGTGTACGTGAGGGCGGTAAGCCCAATAACGTGCTGATCACATCTTGGTTCAGAACTTGGGCTTGGGGTTGTGTTTGGGATTGGGTGGTAGAGGGTGTAGGTGAGAAGATCTTTCGTGACGCAGATACCCCTTGTTGTGGTGGTGGTTGATGAGGAGAAAGGGCGGATAGGTTAGCTGCAGACGCGAATATGCTGTCTAGCAAATTGATACCCGTACTTGACGTTGACGCGGGTGCTAGAGGAGGAGGGGCAGGACCGACGATTTCCGGCCCGCCCAAAGCGGCGAATAATGATTCTAGAGTCATGTTTGATGTGGATGTTGGGAATGTCATCGTGGAGGATGATGCGGTGGGATGAGGAGGAGCGGTAGGCACGAATTTTGCGAATAGTTTGTCGACTTCTGATACGGCTCCTCCTGCTGAGGAGTGTTCGCTGTCCGAGTAGGACGCTTGGGAGTCGGAGGCGGATGCGTCTGAGCTTGTGCCTGTCAAAAAAGTCGGTGAGAGGTTGTGGTTAGAGAAGAGGATGAAGAACGTACCGTATTGGGAAGAAGAAGACTTTGTTACTGCTCGTAGACGGTGTGGTGGAGGTGGCCTGACGGGTCCGTAGCGGAATTCTTCAGGGTACGGAATGTTCTTTTGGATGAACGAGTGTAATCTTCACTAAAAAGTCAGCAACCACAAAAACAAGGAGCAGCAGATGAAAACAAACCTTCTCATAACCTCAATCATCGACTCCGTAGCAAACATCCACAGCCCCACAATGCTGGATCGGCCTTTAATCTTGCTATCCAACTCTTCGATCCCCTCAATCTTGTACACATCCGCAAACTTGTCCGGTGGGACCGGCAACAACTCCAGCTTGGCTTGTATCCCCGCCATGCGCGTGGCCATATAGTCGGGATATGATCGTATGATTAGATAACTTCCATGAGCGGAGATATCGTCTTCGGGGTAGATGTGTTGGATGTAGTCTTCCATGCCCATGCGATTGAGGATGTAGAATCCGTATGGCGGGTAAACGTCCCTTTTTTCAGTTCATCAGCCATCGCCAGGAAAAACAGAAAGAAAAAAGACAAGTGGCACACACACCTCTCGAATAAAAACATGCTTCCCTCATACCCATGTTTTTCCCATTTCTTCCCATCGTGATGATAGACGCATACATGGCTGAACTGGTCAAAGATGGATATAATCGAGGGGTCACGCCTCCTTAGAACCTTGAGGTTGTGTCTATATCTTGAAGCGGGGGACATGCCCAGACTAGGCGGCGGCGAGGTCTCCATTTGACTCTGACACCCTTCCTTTCGTTGTTGTTGCTGGTCGTCTGGATGATGATGGCGGGGTGGACGCATGAGGTGGTACAATGCAGACTGTTTGTTATTTGGTGTTATGTACTAAGCTCGTCACATTTTCATCCACCACCCATGTCTTCGTGGATGAACGTGAATGCTGCTACGTCTCCTCTCTCGCTGGGTATAAAGATCCTCAGGCAGGTCATCAAAGAAAACCCATCAGAAAATGGCTGGACGAAAGCAGAACTCCTCAAACTAGCTCATAAAATCCCGCCACCACCCGACTTTAAACCATTCACCGTACGACCAACTCTACCACCCCTCGGTCACCCACCACCACACCCCGAACATCCAATTCGTTCTCTCGGGTACGTCCACCTCTTCTCTCAAAGTACCAAACTCACAACCACACAGCTTCGTCCGAGACGTAATGCGCGCCCTCGAAGACGCAAACGAAGTCCAAATCTTCCGCACCCAGCGCGAAATGGCCCACATCCCAAAGAAACAAAAAGGAAAACATCATCAACCAGAAGTATCAACAGGCCCCGTCCTAGTCGACGTATTCGCCTGGCGTCTCTCCACCTCACCAAACGCCCCTCCACGTCGTATCTACGAGGAAGGCAAGAAGACAAAAATAAAGATTAAACCTGTGGTGGGTAGGGAAGTCGGTGTCGGGCTTGATACCTCGCATTTGAGTAAACGGAGGCAGGCGGCGAGGGTGGGTAAGGTGTCTAGGGAGGTGTTGAAGATGAAGGTGAATTGGGAAAAGGAGAATGGGATGGCGTGGTTGCAGAGGGGGAAGGTGGCAAAGTTCAAGCCTCAGAGAGCGTAGTCATCGGAGGGGAAGCTGCCTATCTGCTCGGATCCGTACAAGAAATATACTTCTAATCCCTGGGTTTCCGAACTCTCGGACAAATCCTAGCCTCAACATTCAGCAACGCGCTCGCATCAAAAGGGCTTTTCAACGCAATTTTATCACCCCAAAAATACGCTACACAAAGCAGTGATACTAAGCTATAAGATATACAACCGAAAGATACATCTACATTTTTCAACTTGATTCACAAAAAAAGTCCAAGTAGCAGCAGCAACGCGTCAGACCACATGCGCAATCATCCCAAGAGGCGGTATCTGAACAAGGTCATGCTCAGATTCAGACGACGAATCTCCCTTCTCCTTCGCCTACACGAAAAAAAAAAAACCATCTTAGTCAAAAAGAAAAGACAAGAGGGAAAAAACGACGCACCGAATTCGCAGAAACAGGCAAATCAAAATCAACCCGTCTCTCCACATCCGTCCGTATCGAAATATCATTCAACCTAAACGTCAACCGATCCCTCGAAACATGTATCTGCGTCCTCCCCCCACTCCCCGTCGTCGGATTCCTAAACGACACATCCGTCTTATCATCCATTGACTCCTGACGCTCCTCAATCCTTCCACCAATAATCCTCAAACGGTTGTTTAGGATCATGAGCATGGTGTTGGCGTATACTTTCGATATGGTTACACCCGGAACGAGGAAGGCGTCTGTGAATGCAAAGTAGAGGACTAGATGCACCATGGCTATGACGGCTGTGACGACCCCCGTTTCGATGAGCAGACTCATGATTTTGATGATGATGGCGTGTGTGGCGGGGAGCCCTGTTCCTTTCTTTAGAATCTACAACCCACCCCAATATCATCAGTTCCTCATCCCCCTCAACACAAGGAGAAGAAGACGCACATAGTATGGCATGGAAAGAGCGATGATAATATCGCACATCGCACCCGTCCCGTTCCAAATCTACGAGAAGCACGGAGTTAGAAGAAGGGATCACACAAAAACTCAATCACCACATACCCCGACAGAAGTTAGCGTGTTGCTTCTTAACGCGCTAAAGCTCCCTGCTGAATAGAACTGCGCTCCAGCTATGAGCGCTGATACTCCCGAAGCCGCGGAGAGCTGTGCGTGATCCGAGATTGTTGAGTATGAGACAGGAGAGGGAAGGGGGGGGGGGGGAACGCACGATGATGATAAATACCGGCACAGTCCTCGTCTCCGAAATCATGTTTATCCGATACGCAAAGAATAGTTGACCAATGCACCCAGCTTCAAAAAACAAAAACATACGCACTCACTCAGCACAAGAAGAACAGCGAAAGAGGGAGAGGGGGAAGAAGAAAGACTCACTGATCCCCCCAGCAATCGGAATCGAGAACCAATTCGTATGCATCGAATCCATAGAATGTAAATCCCCAAAATTGACAACGAAAACTTGAAATGTGTCATGTGAAATAATGAGCGTTTGTACGGCCTCGCATAGGAAGATGCCGTATACGAGGAGCTTGGCGAGGAAGCGGTCGTTGGGGAAGGCGATGTAGTATGTGTCTTCGCCCCAATTGCAAGTCAGTGTTGTTGTTAAAGAGAGAAAGAGAGAGGACGTACAAGTTTGAAGGGCGAGAACACCGAGAAGACCCCAGCTCAGGAAGGCGGAGACTAGCTGAAGAAAAAGGTAGTTCGTTAGCATGAGGGAAGAGAGAGAGGTTTGGGCTTACCATAGAACCGCCTCTACAAATCCGAACGAATCCTTCAGCCCCAGAACTCGAAAACAAAAGAGAACAAGAGCGAACTCACAGCGTCGCAGCATCGTGAGGTACCGATAAATTAGTGGACATAGGGAGTCAACGGAGGTGGTCTTCGCATAGGGTGGGGTGGAAGAAAGGTGTGGTTAAGAGGGTAATCGGCGAAGGGGCCGGAATGATAAAGTAAAGTCGTGAAGAGGGTCATCGAGATCAAGCCAACATCTCCGTATGGGTAAGCGCGTAAAAACTCAGTCAGGTTCTGCTTGGGTAAAAACCTAAACGGTAAGACATTCAAACGTGCGTTCGTTCGTTCGTTCGTCGGCAACCTGTGTCTTTCTTTTCGCTTACCCCGAAGTGATGGATGGATAGGCTGAGGGATTTGTGTTGTTGTCTTGTTCCCCCATCCTCAGGATCCCCTACCGTGCCTCGCGTACCTCTAGGTGAGAAAAGGCGACAAGCAAAGAGACAGCTCGCTAACACACGTGCGTGGTATAAACGCCACGCACTCGATTTGCTTCCGCTTCTTGACATGCCGTTCAATTGCTCAGTTGACCTTGTCCTGCTGCAAGCTCTCTTAATAGTATCATATGCATACGTATGTTGTCTCCATCCTCTCCACTCGTCTCCACCATGACATTGTCAACCATCACGCGTTCACTCAATCCTCCCAGAGTCCAGACATTATCTTGATCGCATCGATCAACAGAAACAGAAAAACACCCATCAGCAAACCTTCACTCTCTCTTGACTAACGACAGTGTCAGACTTCAGTATTGTGCACACTGCACCGGTACCCCCGTAATTGTAGTTAGGTCCCAACACGTTTTTCGTTTACTTACCATATGTTGACACTACGGGCTTTGTGGCGTACCTTGATGCTAACATTACGTACACGTCAATCTATCGTCTATTTAAATTGGGCTCAAGCCTCGACGTCCCCCATTCTCAGGTCGATCCTTGCTGCTCCCTGAAATATATTATATATTCCAATGTATTCTGGAGTTCCTCAGACATTAGAATTTCGGCCTGCCTGTCCGCCGCTGCCAATTCTTTCTCTTTACTTCGAAAATCGAGGGTAGGTGTTATCTCCAGCCTGAGGGTGAACTAAAATATCCAGAAACAAAAACAAATGTCGCGGAGCAGATCTGGATGGATACCTGAAGGACTTCCGCGGACCAGTAATTCAAAGTTCAAAGGCACGACGCCCGACATGCCGCACTGGCACACTGGTACAGATCCAGCCTACGTACCCATTCGTCCATTCCCCCATCTAATCAAAGTCCTTGAGGTACATACATCAACCTCACAAATCATCGTCGCGGGAGATCAAAACTTGTTTTAGCGCCGGTCGAAAGTAGCAAACGTGCGATGCGAAGGAAATTGCGCTTTCATGTCAGCGGTATCACATATAACCCGAACGGTAAGCCAGGCTCAAGGGCACACACAACCAGAGTTGGATCGTCCAAAATCCCGTGGCCCAATTAATTACCCCGCCCGCCGATCTTCGCTCAATTGAATGCAGAGGTTTTAGCTGGTTTTAGTGAACCTCAAGGCAGGCAGCCCTGCCCTTCGGGGCCCTAGGTATTCGTAAACGTGCAACGGTACGTCGTACACTCTATACATTCAATTGCCACTCGCTATACCATACTCAAAGTAAATTAGCGTGTGTCCCTTCGGTTGGTTGTACATAATGTATTTTGCGAACGTTGTTCACCTTGGCCCAGTTCAAGTTGGCGCAGACGACCTTGGTAGACTCCCTCTTCTTGGCGGTAAATTCAAAGGTTCAAGTGCAGCGAGAGCGCATACAAGAGAGATACTTCCGCCTCCGGGACCTCTAAAATCCTCGAATGCAAAACACAAGTTGAACACAAGGTTGTATGCACCGAGAGCAATGAGCGCCATGTCAGAACGTCTTTCAAAGCAAATCGGCAGGCACACACACATTGTAGAAAACGCAATCACACGATCTATTATCCACATCCACGAAAACACGCCATCCTGGATCCACATGGCACTTCCGGGTCTTCATGCCCTTTCGCGGACCCGATTTCGTCGAACATAAAATTAGAGTGAGCTTGGGAATTGATTGAGACTGACATTGGGGATTGACGTGTGAATCGCGGCCGCCTTCGCTAATGTGTATGTACCTGGGAAGAGGAAGACAAAAGCGTAGAGGAAAAAGGTTGGGAAGAAGGCGGACACGCGGTTACGAGAGTGTGTCTTGAATTGAGAATGAGAAGAAGTATCGAACGTCGAACGTTGGACCTTGAGGTTATGTACCTGCTACGTCCCTTCGACATTTAAATAAATCCAATTGAGAGCTCACCGAAAAAGAGAAAAACTCTTCTCAGTTACCATTTCGCATAATGGAGATGTTCTTCCAATGATAAGTCGGGGTTGTCGATGGTATTTGAAAATCCCAACCCTTTCGATAAGATAAGAAATTCAAAGGGAAGATAATTATCGCCAAACGGGTATCCTCGGGCATGCAAGTCCCACTGTCTTGTAACGTCCAAATTCGTCAAAGGCACTAGGCCCCGGGGGAACCGGCGCGGTGATACGGGCACAACGGGAAATCTAAAGTCGTCATGCACTGGCCTGCCTTTACACCAATTTGTGTTCATCCCGGAGGAAAGACGGGGCGTCGTTCGTTCCGTCTCGCGTGGAGGGCACCAAGTATCTATTGATGAGTAGTCTTAGGCGCCGCGGGCCTTTGCAGTCCGAGGATCCGAGCTCAGTGCTCAGCTTCAGTTTTGGTTGAATGAAATCTGAGTAGTCCCATCGGTACTTGGAACGTAATATCATGCAAATGTTGTCCCGATCATGTTGGTCATTGACCAAGAGGGATTTCTTGCCAGCGATAAAGCCTCAGAAGTCGTCCATTTGAATTAGCAGTACCGAAGAATCAGCACGCAGTGGTGCCGTTGGAGGATATCTATCAGCGTGCAATGAAGTTGTAGAAGGAAGAACCTATTGTCAACCATCCTGTGTCATGATTAATATCTGGATGTAGCCTTTAGCGCCACGGCCCCTGAAATCCGAAGAATAGAGCTCTTGATCAACTTTGAAGAGTGCTCGGCCTCAGTTTTGCAACTGAGTGGTTCCACCTATACTTGAAACTTCATATTACGCAGATGTTGTCAAGGTTGTTACTTGAGAGATAGAACGGGTGTTGGACATCATTGATCAAGAGAGATTTCTGCCAACAATGAAGCCTCAGAGCTAAAGTCGTCCATTTAACTTCCGCGGCGTCGGTTGCGAGCAAAGCAGTATCAAGAGGCTGACGTCCGGAAGAGGCAGTGCCGTTAAAAAATATCTATCAGAATGCAGTAAAGTTAGAGACGGAAGGACCTACTGCTAACCATCCTACGAGATAAGCTTTAGTCCCATGGATTGCAAAGATCAAGTTGCAGCAAAACGACAAAGCTATGGGAGACAGGAGCACGCGAATCGATTAGGAAGGGTGGGGTAGTTAGAGGTACGGCCGAATGTACACCATGGCAACCACTACGCAGACGCCTGCGTTTGCTGAAATATCCCATGATGTGGTAGTTGGTACTTGGTCAAAATCGTAGAAAATCGTCATGACGCGTAGCGTGACTGGTTGACCACGCCAGCAACATCATATGATCAAAACACGCCAAAAATATACGCGTCGTTCACGCCAAGCAAAAGCCCAACACCGCCATGCGTGCCTGATCCTGATGCCAATTTAATATTACGTACACGTCGATCTATCTTCTATTCAGATTGGGCTCATGACCTCCCCCATTTCAGGTCAATTCTTGCTGCTCCCTGGAATATATATTCCGAGTCCAATATATTCTGGAGTTCCTCAGACAATGAAATTTCGAAATGACGGCCCGTCCACCACTGCCAATTTTTTTACTTCGAACTTCAAATCGAGGGTCGCAAAACTTCAAGGGGGTGCTGGGATTTAAAATAAGGACCGGATGTCGAAATTATTTTTAGTGGGACTTGGGCTGAACCAACCACCCAACGTAATCAGGCACACATCCATTTTAGGAAATATGATGTCATTCATGTGCCACCTTTTTTCCAGCAGGCTGCAAAAAAACCATTTTTTGAGCTCCCCGGAGCTTGAAATGAAGTTGGCCATAAAATTCACTATTGAAATTGAACTACTGAGCTGCCCACTTAAAGTAAATCACTGTATGGGCCTGCTGTTTTCGGGCAGCAAGCTCCAAGTTTGTTGTTGTAGGGAAAGGTACTTATTTCACAACATGTGATCTCAATTCCAAGTCCTACATTATCTTAGAGCTAGTTTTTGGCTTCTTTATATACAGATAGACCCAATATTCAAGCTCATGCATTCTGGCAGTTATCTGAGCACTGTCCAAGCACTGTCCAAGCACTGTCTTGTTGTTTTGTACTGAAATTTTGGTATGTCGAAAAAAAAATTAGTGGCCTGGTGGCCTGTGAAGCGTTCACTCTGAACTTCTCGCATAGCTGAAGCCAAGAGGGAAGGAGGAGGCAAGAATGGGTGGATCTGGGATCAACACCCATAAGTGAGCAATGAGCAGTTACAAGATACTCAGCTGGCCCAACATGATTATGCATACTGTAGGAAGTACAGATATACAAAGCACTACATGTAGTGCAAGAGGATGGCAATACTGCTGACAAGATGGTGGTTCAAGACAAAAGATCAATATATTATGTAAGATATCCAAATCTAGCTATATACCACTGTTTGACTATGGCCTCTGGGCATTCCCTTCCAATCCTATATCACATGGCCAAACCAACCAACCGGCCCCTGGTCCGGGATTTAAATCCCGGCACCCCCTTGCAAAACTTGAAAAACGGTGTGATCTCCAGGTTGAACTGAAATATCTGGGAACATCAAGAAATGTTGCAGAGCACATCTGAATATCTGAAGGACTTCCGCAGAGCAGCAACTTGAGTTCAAAGGCACGACATTGACATGCCGCACACTGGTACAGATTCAACCTACGTACCCATTCATCCATTCCCCCATCTAATCAAAGTACAAGTTTGGGGTACATATATCAACCTCGTAAATCATCATCGCAGGAGATCAAACTTATTTATCACCACTAGCGTGGGAGTCGAAAGTTGCAAATGTGCAAGATGAAGGAAATTGTGTTTTCAAAGCACACCAGTGGTATCACATATAACCCAAACAGTATGTAGCCAGTGAATGCAAGCTCAGGCTCAAGGGCACACACAACCAGAGTTGGCCCAATTAGTGTCTACTAATATTACCCTGCCCGTCGATCTTCAATATTCACTTGCAGCGGTTTTAGTGAACCTCAAGGCAGGCAGCCCTGCCCTTCAGGGCCCTAGGTATTCGTAAATGTGCAACATACGTCGTACACTCTATACATATGTCATACACTCTATACATACGTCGTACACTCTATACATTCAATTGCCAATTGCTATACTATACTCAAAGTAAATTAGTGTGTGTCCCTTCAATTAGTTGTACATAATGTATTTTGCGAACATTGCTCATTTCTGCCCAGCTACGCAGACGACTCTGTATTCTTGGCGGTAAATCAAGGACAATGTAACAGAGATACGTTGAAAGCAAAGACGACCACCTCAAGAGGTTAGATCCCCAAACGCAAACACGAGAGCAAGAAGACACATCAGAACTCTTTCAAAACAAATCGGCAGGCACCCAACATAGAAAAAGCAATCACACGATCTATCATCCACATCCACGGCATAAGAGAAAAGAACATGCCATCCTGGATCCACATGACACTTCTGGGTCTTCATGCCCTTTCGTGGACCCGATTTCATCGAACCAAAAAAATTAGAGTGAGCTTGGGAATTGATTGACATTGGGCTTGACATGTGAGCAGAGGCCGCCTTTACTAATGTTGAAAGACAAAAGCATGAAGGCATGCATGCGGTTACTGGTCGGAGTGCCTCCTGAACTAAGTAGGAACTTTGAGTCTATTCAGTGTTGAACGTTGGACCTGGATATTGAAGTTGGCTGGAGAAGATCAAATGTACCTGCTGCATCCCTTAAACTGAGAGTTCACCAAAAAAAAAAGCTTGATGTTCAGTTTACATTCCGCGTTGAAATGGAGAGGTTCTTTGTCGCTGCAATGATAGGTGCCCAACACCAGCTTGGACAGCGAATAATCGGAATTATCAATAATGTTATTTGAAAATCCCAACCTTTCGATAAGATAAGGAATTCAATCCACTGATAGAAAGGAAGAAATTTCTTGCCATATGGGTATCCTCAGGCATGCAAGTCCCACCGTTATGCAGCGTCCAAATTCGTCAAAGGCCCCCAGAGGGACCAGTACAGTGATACGGGCATAACGTAAAATTTAGAACTTGTCATGGATCAGTTGCACTGGCCTGCCTTTACACCATTTTGTTCATCTCAGAGGACAGGGCGTCGTAGCGTCCATCTTGCGTGGAGGGACCAAGTATCTATTGATGATGGATATTTGGGATGCTGCGGCCTTTGAGGTCCGAGGATCCGTAGGGTAGAGGTCTTGATCAACTTCGTCAGCGCTCGGCTTCAGTTTGCATGTTGTGGTCCCAAGTATACTTGAAACTCAATATTATGCAGATGTTGTCGAGGTTGTGGCTTGAAAATTTGGCCATCATTGACCAAGAGAGGTTTCACCAACAACGAAGCCTCAGAACTGGTCCATTTAACATCCGGAAGACTGAAGAATCAGCACAGAGCGGTGTTGTCGAAGGATATCAATCAGCTGCAGTGAAGTTGTAGAAGGAAGGGCCTACACCGCCAAACCAGGGCCAGGTCACAGAAATCTGGATTAAATTATGTAACCACACCCAGGTTCAATATCATGTCGACCTGTTGACAGCTGGGTGCCATGTGAACTTCGCACTAAACACAGCATGGCAACAGGGACACCTGTCTTGGGGGTGGAGGAGACATGTTGAGAATGGGTGGTGATCCAGGCAATGCTGGTATATCAGGCTGGGTATGAGCTGCAGGGGTTTACATCTCATTTCCATAGATTTATTCATCCTCAATTCAAGAGCATAAACGAAAGAATAAATTGTATTTTAACAAGGGGGAACACATGAGTTATTTACAACTACTTTATCTACTACTCAAGGGCAGGCCATTTGTTGAGGGAAGAGGCCATTCATTGAGAAAGGAGGCCGTTCATCAAGGGAGGGGGAGACCATTTGTCAAGGGAGGGAGGAGGCCATGCATCAAGGGAGGGAGGGAGTCGTTTGTCGAGGGAGGGAGGAGGCCGTGCATTAAGGGAGGGAGGAAACTGTCCACAGGGAGGGAGGGGACCATCTGTTGAGGGAGGGAGACCATCCGTCAAGAGGGAGCAGACCATTGGGAAGAGGCATTTGTTGAGAGACGTTTGTCGAGGGAGGAGGCCATGCGTTGAGAGAGGGAGGCAGCTGTTCATCAAGGGAGGGAGGAGGCCCTGCGTCAAGGAAGGGAGGAGGCCATTTGTCGAGAGGGAGGAGACCTTCCATCGAGAGGGAGAAAACCCAGTTCATTGAGGGAGAAAACTGTCCGTCTGTCAAGAGGGAGGAGACCATCTGTGTGTTGAGGGAGGAGACCGTCTGTGTGTTGAGGGAGCGAGGAAACCGTCTGTAGAGAAGGAAACCGTCCATCGAGGGAGGGAGACAATCCATCGAGGGGCCATTGTGATGGGTGGGAGGAAGTGGCAAGGGGACTCTGACTTCAAGCTCGATGTGGTGGGAAGGAAGAACAATGACTTTCTGTGTTGGGAACTTCAAAAATTCAACATGCTCACATGATGTCAGAGTTTCAACGGACTTGAAAGAAATTGCAGCTCATTGTTCACAAGCCTATTGCTCGGCATTTAACACATAATTATAGGAAATCAAACAAATAGAAATTGCATATTGAAAGATCAGTACACTGTCTCTAACATAGGCCTTGCCTTTGAGTGAAATTGGTGGATATTCTAATTTTGTGGTAAGGTGGTCATTATGTTTACAGCAGAGCTGGCACCCATGTCTGAACCAGCTGATGGCCAGCTGGACCTGGGCACAGCATGTAGATCAGATAGCTGACAGCTGACAGATTTGATGTGCATCAGGAAATTCGGCAACCTGCCATCAACCTGTTGGCCATTTAGCGGTGTATTGCTAACCAACCTGTGTCATGATGAATATCTGGATGTAGCCTTAGGCACCACGGGCCTTAGAATCCCAACAGAGCTCTTGATCAACTTTGAAGAGTGCTCGGCCTTAGTTTTGCAACTGAGTGGTTCCACCTATACTTGGAACTTCATATTACGCAGATGTTGCCAAGGTTGTTACTTGAAAAATAGAACCATCCTGGTCATCGACCAACAGAAAATTTTGCCAACAACAAAGCCTCAGAAGTCTTCCAAGCTGTGCGAAGGAATCAGCATGGATATCTATCAGCGTGCAGTGCAAGTTGTAGACAGAAGGACCTACTGCTGACCACTGGCGAGATAAGCTTTAGTCCCATGGGTTGAAAAGATAAAGTTGAAGCAAAATGACCTCGACTAGTATAGGTCACCACATGTCTGTGGGAGACAAGAGCACGTCAATTGCCCTGGGAGGTAAAGTAGTCAGAGGTACGGCCCGAATGTACACCAAGGCAACCACTATGCGGGTGCCTACGTTTGCTGAGATGTGATAGGGTGTGCGGTACTTTGTGGAAAAAGTCAAAATCGTCAATGACACGTAGACCATAACAGCAACATCACATGATCAAAACGCGCCAAAAGTACGCGTCGTTGAACACCATAAATTCGAGAAAGGATATACAAAACTACCTACCAAAGGGACAAATCAATATATTACAGAATAAATTCATTCAACTTGCATCGTCCATTCAACCCCTCAAATCTCAGGCTCATCACCAAAAGGATCCCAAACCTCTCCAGGCTTCAACACAGGCTTCACCCACTTCCCATCATCATCCACATCCACATCCCCATCATCATCATCCAAAAGCTCATCAACCTCAGCCCCCTTCACCTCAGGACTCTCATCGCGAGCACACAACCACTTATCCCTCTTCGCCTTCTCCATCCTCTTCTGCACGCGTTCAATCCGCATCCTCGCCACTTTGGCTTTAGGCGGTGCGGGCGTATACTTGTACTTCGTGTTGGGGTAGTGGTCGGATAGCGGGAAGGAGGAGGGGGAGTATAGGGAGAAGGCGGAGGAGGACGGGGATGAGGAGCGGAAGGGGGATGAGAAGGTGGAGGAGGGGATGCCTGGGGAAGAAGAGAGGGATAGGCCGGGAGTGGACATTAGGCTGATGTTGGAGTTTTCTTTATCGTCCTCTTCGGTGGAATCCTCCTCCGTGGCAGGGGGAGGACCCATGAACCAGGCCAAGTATTGCTCAAAGGCGTCTTCGGGGTCGTTCCATTTATGAGGGTTAAGCGTCGCATCAGTGTCTTCCTCGCCGTCACTGTCGTCTTCCTCTTCTTCAGTCTCGCTGGATACTTCGTCATCGTAATTTGACGTGAGGAAGGGGTGGTTGTCGTCAAATGGGCGGCTTGACTCATACTCTGAATCTGAATCCCCATCTGCTTCTAAAGCGGCGAGGGTTCTTCGTGACTCTCTCGACAATTTCGAGGAGACGCGTCGGGGGAGAGATTTGACCGGAGCTCTCTTCGGCTTCGTCGTAGCTTGCTTTGACTTTAGCAGTGGAGCAAAGTTAGGCGGAGGGAGAGGGACTGGCGAAAGGTGAACTCGTCCTCGGGCGGTGAAAACGAAAGGCAAGTTTGAGATTCCTTTCCTCCGAGGAATAGTGGTCGTATTGATGATTATGTGGACTTGCGTAGTCCGGGAGTGATGCTAGACACCAAGGTCAGAAACAACGAAAGAAGCAGGGTTAGATTATAACGAACGTATACGATTCCCCTCTCAGTGTCCACTCCCTCCGGCCAGGCATGGGCGACCGTAAAAACCTCTTCATCCTCCCACTTCCACTCGCCTCCTTCATCTTCCTCAAGCTCAACTTCCGCTTCCTCATTTTCATCCACCTCTTCCTCATCCTCGTCATCCTCAAACGCATCGCGTCCATACATCGACCGCCACCGACAAGGATCCTGTACACTCGAAAGTTTCGCCCACGTCTTCCCCACCTTGATTTGCCCAGGTTTATGCCGCGCACTGTAAAGAGCCACTTTCTTCTTGATCTCAAACAAGTGTTCGTCCTCCAGCCCACCGCCACGCGAGCGTACCCCAAATAAAAACGCAATCAAGCAGCGAAGGTGGGTGAACGTATAGCTCTGAGGGACTTGCACGACGCGATACACGCCACCCTGCTTGGGGCCCACGCCACGTCGTACGAACTGGAAGCGCAAAGCGAGGTGTTTGCTGAATGAGGTCTCCGCTGGCAGGGTGTGGATGAGCCGTTGGGTGCGTTTCCTTCCGAAAGGGTTTGAAGGCGAGTCGGAGGCACGGAGAGGGTACGGTGTGTAGGGTGCTCTGCTGGGCGTTGAGTATGACGCTGACGCCACTGGTGTCTGGGGGAAAGAGACATGACGGCGCTTTGAGCGTTGCTCGACTGGGGAGGAGTCGGCACCGCGGGGTCGCTTTAGCATAAGTCACAATGGGAGTCCAACGTCTTCAACGTCGCTGCTCGTCGTGCAACTTGTGCAAGGTAGTTGAGAGGAAGTGAATTTCAAATTTAACCATCAACAATGGTAACGCGATCACGTGGGCGCGTCGAACGTGACGCGTGACGGAACTTGCTGCGCCTCGGGATTTCAGCAAGATTTCAGAGAACATTGCAAAATCCAGAGAAGTAGGAAGGAACTGAAATAGGAACACTTCATTCGGTTTTATGTACCCGCGATCCAATTCACGTCGAGGGATATCACTTCATGTTGCACGTCTATTTTTGGCGCACGCGTTTTAACTTTTGACGTGTCTTGTCAAATATAAATGGGCCTCCACATACTAATGGTATCAAAGGGATTGTACACGAGACGCCGCAAAGGCGCAAAACTTTCTTTCTTTGAAGGAGCCTTATGTATAAAAGCAAGCGCGTAGTATCTGAGTCAAAGTGATCATAAACGTGGAGATCAAAGACGCTTTTTCTAAAAAGTAGTAGGTATGATCAAGCCAGATAAAAAAAACTAACAACCAGTGCTACGCAACTAAAGTTTCAAATTAGCACAATTACAATGGTTGGCTCGATGAATACGCACACAGCTGGCCCAAAATAGTGAAACGTGGGTGGACACTAGGTGGTTTGGAGCCTGAGAAAGATCTCGTCAGAATGAATCACGGTAGCACCATAAAATTGTCAAACACTTGCGTGAGCTGCAGATAAAATCAACGGGCCATGCGTCTGATGAAAACAAAAATGTTGAGCTCTAGAGATTGCGCAAAGCGGGGGCGTACTCACTTGACTAGAAGCGTCCGCATGTAGGGCGCCCAATCGAAAAGCAAAAACAACCAATCACCGCTTCGCCAGCATGACAATGTCGGTGGTGCCTCGCCCGGTGAGACGATGCCCGAGACCGTTAAAAGGCCCCCAATGATCATCCAGGTGTGCAATCACGCATCTGCCTGCCCACACTCCCGTGAAGGAGCAGCTTTCCACACCCGGATACACCAGTACCCAGGATGCTTTAAGGCATATGTGGCGCAGCGATTGGTTGTTCTGCAATTGAAAAGGATGCCGACCAATGGTGGTGTGTTGGGGCCGTATTCAAGAATTGGAAAAGGGTGGCTGACAAAAAGAAGAGTGAAGATCGCGAAGGGCGATGTCAAAAAAAAACGCACGAGTGTGATCGTTGCTGGCAGAAAAGAAAGCATAAGAACTTCAATGCCAGATGTTAAAATAACAAGATCTCACCATAAAAAATGCGCTCCAACTGTACTAGACATCATGCTCAGAACAAAACGGTATCGCTTCGATTCACCAATGTAACTGGGAGTAAATAGTTGATAAGATGATGAGCGAGAGACAAAAAATTGGCAACGTACCGAGTTGTGAACACACTGTACTTCAGCGAGTCCAAACCCGCTGCGAGACAAGCCAAAGCCGCTTATGCATTCATTCTGACTGAATTATTTTCAAGTCCACACAAACAATTACTTTTGCCACTTCGTTCCTTGTGATCCATGTACCGCTCATTTGGAAAAGTTTCTTTGTCTGATTTCAAGTAGAAAATAATCACCCAAGGCATAAAACTTTCGTTCAGAGGTTTATAATTATTGTCCTAGTAGCGACGACACAGCACACATAATTGGCTTTATGGATCACCACGTGGGCCCACACCCATCAACATCCCCGATAGACGCCCGTCTCCAGAAGCGCCACATTTTCGGTAATTCGTGCAGCAGATTTTCGTGATCTAATAATTTCAACCACTACATTCCATACCCAACAAACACAGGAATGCAAGTGGGCCATATGGACAGCTTCTGAGCGGCGCTGGAACCTGTACCGGCAACACGTTCCGGAGAGTAAAAGTCATTAGACGCTAAGCGCGCAACAGCTTTTTTCACCGCCTTGCATTATCACTCGTCGTGAGTCCCGATTACTCCTTACTCCCAACCACCATCTCCTACCATGGCTTACCCTTACCTACAGCAGCAAGACTGGCAAAGAGAGGGGATGAGTGACACTATCCGAGCGGCATGGAAGGTTTTCAGCAAAGAAATCTACAAGACCCGAGATGATAACGACCCGGAGAGTCTGACCCCTCGAGCGCAAAAGGAGTGGCTGAAGGTACTCACTGCACCCTTGGCTGTAGTCCTATGCCTTATTTTCTGGAAGAATGCACTTTATTCATTTCCATAGGGAGTGCAATTGGCCACTGTGGATTAATCCACAAACCTTTTGTCTGATGCAAAACCATATATAAGAATGAGTCTTTCTATTGATTTCAGTTTATTATATCAATGAAATGTAGATTGTGCTTCTCTATGTCCAAATATGTGTCAACAATTCACAGTTTTAATTCTGAGGAGATATTTATGTCCTACAGCTTTGTTTCTCCCAGAAAGAACCTCTCAAATTTGAGAATATACATATTTGATAATGTTCTGACACTCCTAGATAGTTTCCCTCTGTCAATTGTAGCCAGAATAGCTGGATGCGACATATCCATTTCGGATGACCTTGGGCCTTTTGATGCCTTTGGTACACAATTGTCAACAATGCACAGTTTTCATTCTGAGGAGATATTTACGCTCTACGGCTGTGTTCCTCCTAGAAACAACCTCTGAAACCTCACCAAATATATACTTGATAATGTTCAGATCACTTCAGATAGTTTCCCTCTGTCCAATCTGACCGAAATAGTTGGATGTGATGAACCATTTTTGGATGATGTTGGGCCTTAGACGCCATTGGTACACAAATGTAAACAAATTCAATTCAACTCGAAAAAAGTCCTATGCCACATGATGTACAGACGTACAGGGAAAAGAAAATAGTATAAAGGATATAGTAAAGCATCTAGCAATGTACATCAAACAAAACAAACAAAAGGAGGTCAACAATATGTCGTGGTCGTTGTCGTGGCGGTCCCCATCATGTTCGTCATGGTGGTCCTCTGTGGCGGTCGTCTTCGCATCGTGGTCCCCTTTGTCATGGTCTATCATGGTGATACATGCTGGTTGTGGTCCGTCTCGCTGTCATCTGTTGTGGTTGTGGTACCGTCATCGTGTCATGTTGTTCCGTCATCCTCGCCATTGTCTATCATCGTTGTTGTGGTCACGTTAGTGGTGTGTTGTCGTCCGTGGCAATGGCCCTCGCATTGTAGTGGTACGTCATTGTCCCTGGTCGTGGCCCTGCTCGTCTGTTGTCTGCTTTGTGCTTGTCCATCGTAGTCGTGATCGTCCATTGAGTCCTTCGTGCTCGTCTGTCGTGGCTGTTGTCATCAATAGAGGACGACAACATCTGTCATCATCGTTTGTTAGAGCAAGCAGTGGGGAGGAGAGGGCCATACACTTACTTACCTGGGCTCAGCTCCTGCACTGCGAAGCGTACATTTTGCTGTAGTCGTGTTCAATGATGACGAACGTTGTTCGTCGTCTGGTTGCCACGTCCCTGTCGGCGACGTGGCAGCTGGGTTGTCTGTGACTTTGGGAATGGAGGGGAGCGGTTATGTGCTCAGCGCCATTTGGTGGGGGTTGATGCATGGGTTGCGGTTGGTGCTGCTGCTGGATTGGAGGCATGACTGTTGGATGGATGGGTTAGTACTGGAGAGTGAGTGATGGGATGGTGTCGTTGTGGACAGTTTGATTGTGGTGGTGGTGGGCGGTTGCCATTATTGTGGATGGTGATGATGGTGGAGCATCATCGTAGGCGGGTCTTGGCAGCATGGGCATCATCGTCCTGAAGTTGACGTGACATGTTAGTCATGAGTGAACGTGTATGATTAATGATGAACGCGATGAGCACAGTCAAAGCGTGCTCGTGTGTTTCATGCGAGCGTATCTGGTAATTGATGGTGGGCGGTCGCCAGTCGTTTGTGTGGTGATGATCATGGGCGCTCATCACAATCCGTAGGTGGTGGGCACTGGTGGCCATTGTGGTGGTAGTGGTGGGCGGTCACTGTCCATGGTGGATGGTGGTGAATCGTCGTTGGTGGACGGTGGAAAATCGTCATTGCCGTCCCTCTTTGTGGGTCTTGGTATCGCCGTCGACATGGCACGCCTGGATAGACCGTTGGTGTGCCACGTCAGGGGTTTAGTGGTGGTGTCGTCGGCATGGATAATCTGATTAGGTACGACGGGGTGCTCCTAAAGGATAAGCAAACACACCAGGAATCATAGATGTCGCATCATTCCATCTCCTCAATTTTCGATTTCGTCCCCTCTTATCTTTTCAACGGATAGGAGGAAACCTGCAGTGCGCCTTGAAGGGTTGTATTCGCTGGCTGAGGGAGGTGAGAACGACTTTGTGGTCGTAATAGTGGGTGTTTGGGCATTGTTGGCCAGAGGACGGGGGTTGAACGTTGAACGTTGAACGTTAAAAGGTTGAACGTTGATGGATCGAACTGGAAGGGTGACTGGGCAATGTTGTGTGATCCGGCGTCGTATGAGACAGATTGCAGGAGGACTCTGTGCAGCGGGTGGCAAATCAGGCGATGAGAGCGCGGCAACTGATACTAATAGAGAGTATGAGCTACAGTATTGAGAATGGGACCAACAGCGGACCAAATGTGTGTAGGGCGTGAAGACGAGAGGATGTTGTTGACTGAGACGGACATATGTGGCATCCTCAACCACGTATCAACAGCGCTCGGAAAACGCCGAGCGCTGATCGCGAGCTGCGCAAGTCCCTCCTGCGTTCGTTATTGAGAAGAAAAAAATATAGGAAAATGTATTTAGAGGTTCTGAGGACTATGATTAACATTCAAGATAGGTAGCAGTATGTATTCATTGGGCAGGGAGTAAAAGTCGTAAGAATTCCAATCTCACACTTGAGATTCCGGCACTTTCAATTGCTTTATTGTGACCCTCTGCACCTATCCCATCCACCTGTATCTCCACAATCTTCTGATTTCTGTAAAACTTTGGGACCACATTCAGTCTTTCATTCTGAAAATATCTATGGAGTTTTATGGCCATTGGATGGTTTAAGTGGACACAGTATAGTTAAAGTCTGAAGAAACACACTCTATTCAATGGCTTTCACAACAAAACCTTCATTATCAAAGTGAATACAGTACTCAGAAATTTTATATGAACACCCACCTTTAGCTAAGAAGAGGTAAATCAGATTCCCTCAAAATTAGGCAAGCAGAGCAAGATTTCCCAACACAATTCTATGTTTTGAAACCCTCCTAAAAATTACAAAGTTGGAACAAGACTTTTAGGTGTGTTCTTTCACTCATAATTTGACACTGCCTGTCCTAGTACTCTTTTACTTATGCACTGAATTCTGGTAGGCTATATCTGGCATGTATTAACCTCCAGGTTGCTGGAATGATATGTTTTTGACATTCAAAGACAAAGATACTCCTTCCTCTGGAATTTTTAGCCAACTACTGATAAGAGAGCAAGCCCAATGTTGTAAATTAAACATAATGATATGTATTACCAATGTCAGTGTAGTGTTCCCTTCCTCTCCTGGCTCAATTTCAGTTGTTTTTCCGATGTTTTTTTGAACTTTGCATCTATTTGTCTACAGCTTCAAACGTGTCATCCAAGTTCACCATGTCGCATCCATCCACTTGCGAGGGTGCCGTAAATATAAAACATGATAGATTGGATTCTGTTCTACTTTAAGAGTACTAAAATGTGTATTTTTCATTAGATACAAATGTAAAGGATGAATAACCATGTCTATTGAAGATCTGGCACGAGGAGGGCAGCTATTTGTACTTGCTTGGCAACACCTTTGGGAACGTCATCCAGCTGGAACCTGAGCCATCCAGCCGAAAAGCTGCTGATTTGAAATACAAAATACATACGATATGATGGAAACCAGTTGCAACCGAAGAAATATGAAGTTAGTTCTGTCAATAACTTGAATGACATCCTTCAAAGGACACTTTCATGAATCTCCTCTCAGGAGCTACTTTTGTTGACATTTGTTTGTTACTTAGAAGGATCAAAGAACAAAAAGGTCATCCAGAACATGACTTGTGCATCCATCATCTCCACACCTCTGATTGAGACGGAAATTTTTTGAAAAAATCGGAAATATATTTCTACATTACTTGGTAGCTTTGAGTAGCTGTAACACAAGTTTTGATGGAGAAAACTGAGAATCATTACAATTGGAATATTCTGGTGAAATGCAGCTTTTCTAGAAGAATTATGACATGGAAAAACATATGTGGATGCTCTTTTGGCAAGAAAAACATACACAGAATACAAGAAAATATGCCAGTCAACAATGCTGATCCAGGATGTACCATTTCTAAGAATTTTGAATCATAAAACATATCTGAGCTATATTTAGATCTATCCAACATTCTGGATCCCTAGAAAAAACATATTTGGATGCTCTTTAGGCAAAAACAAAACATCCACAGAATACAGAAAAACATGCCAGTCATCAATGCTGATCCAGGATGTGACATTTTTGAATCATCAAACATATCTGAGCTATATTTAGATTTGTAATAAATTACAAACATTCTGGATTTCATATCTGGATGCTCTTTAGGTAGACAAAACATACAGAAAACATATCAGTGATCCAGAATATCCCATTTCTGAGAATTTGAAATCATGAAACACATGAGAGCTATATTTAGATTTGTAATAAATCACAAACATATCAGGCTAAAAATAGATGCTGTAGAACAGTATTATAAGCAGAAAACATATTCTGGGGGTATATTTTATTATACGTGCAATGGTTTTTATTTTTGAAAGGCTTTTTTTCAAATATTCTGATGTTCCACAGCCCATGGCATTTTGGCCAAGTGGCCAATTGCACACCCTATGGAAATGAATAAGGTGGAACCTTCCAGGTCAATTTGGTCTAAAACTACAGCCTGGGCTGCTCACTGAGAATGAATGGGATCCTGGGGCGTGGATGATGACGGAGAAGGACAAAGCTCAGGTGTTCGCCCTCCTTGGTTGGAATCCAGATGAGCTGGCCCACGCTGCGCACAAGACTCCAGCTTTTTCAGTGGTTGGTGTATTTAGCTTTCGTCTATATGAGCTTGAATGAAGCTAACACATTTCAGAACCTGCGGGCCAACGACGTCAGGCGCAGCGGAGAATTTTCAGTAAGGCAAGCCTGGCCAATTGTGCAACCTCAACCCAAGTATGCTCAGCCCCCACACTTCCGATATATGCTTTTCCTGCCGGCGGATGTACAACGTAATTTCGAAAGGACAGCAAATGTCGATAATGAGGAAGAGGAGTACGAGACGAGTTATACAGACATGGATGGCGACAAAGAGGAGGAAGGCAATGCCAACGAGGAGGAGGAGGAGGAGGAGGAGGAGGAGGAGGAGGAGGAGGAAGATGAGGAGGAGGAGGAGAGCGATGACGCGGATGAAGTGAGCAGTGGCGATGTCGATGAAGAGAAGGGCGACCAGAATGACAAGCCAATCATCAGGATTCTCAGCGGTCCCGACGTTTTCCCCATCATACTCATTGAGCCGTTTTTGGAGAAAGGGGCTTTCGATTTTTTGAAATCAATATCCCCCAAACTCGCCAAATTCGCCAGAAAGTCAGCGGATTGGCGGCTGACGGATTGTCATCGCGAGGCAGCACATGTTATGCATAAGCTTACCAAACATTGGCTTACGGAGCTCCAGAACAAAAGACGTGACAGAGAGCTCATCCTTTCCGTCAAAGGCTACTGTGAAAAGAGCCATGACGAATGGAGGGAGGAGGTAGGGAAGAAGTTGGAAAAGTTGCGACAGAAGCACCAACACAAGTTACAAAGGAGAGGTGATACCACACCCACCCCGAGGCGGCACAGATCCGGGGCCAAACGGGATGGGGAAGGGCCCGAGGACAGTCAACAGCAGCAGTGGGAAAGTACGAATACTTTGCATTCTCCTTCGCTGTCTGGAACAAAACAGGAGAGAAAAGGCCGCATCCCTGGGAACATCTATGAAAGATTGGAGACGGTCGTTCGAGAGCGGATCGAGCATGACAAGTGTGTGTCACATGGCGACGATCTGCCCACTCCCAAAATGTCACCCTTGATGCCCAAAGGACATCATTCAAGCTCACGCAGCTAGACCTGAGAGCTTACGTCTGCCACTCCAGACCCTGTGTGACACCAGTACTTCAACACCTTCCATCTCCCCGCCCGTGCGCGTGCCCGTGGTACATGGTTGAAGAAGAAGCCAACTCATCTAGGAAAAGGGAGGGATCCATGCCTTAGGGGTATGGCTACGAGGAAATTGGTCTTCCTCAGAACTGTAATACCGCTGTGAGATCATAGGGGTAGAGGTGCGTGACTGAGGAAGTGAAGATCCAAGAAATGTTGATTAACTACTAATGAAAAAGGTTTTATGCCTTTGAGTCCCCTGTAACACTTGATTCTGATGGAGGATTTGAATCCCTAGTATGATACTAACAAAACGGTCACTTAGTTCTCACAGAAAAAATTAAGAAGAATTGAGGTCCTACCAAAAGTAGACGGTTCACGAGGAGATGCAGTGGTATGTACAGCCAAAAGATGAACAACTTGAGCAGAATTATCTTCATCTTCATCCCCATTCCCGGGTGCATGACGAGAACATTGCGATCCTGCTTCGAAGTACAGCCGTGACGCGTGACGTGGCGGCTGTGCTCCTCCCCCCATATTAATGGAAGAGCTGCATTTGAGTTGAGCATCGTGGAGACGTCGTCGATGAGGAGCATACCAGAATGGCAGGATCGGAATTCTTTGACTCCATTCGTGATGTCTGTCTGTCTTCAAATCCGCACCATGCAAGTATACGTTGGTAGACTTTGAAATCTTCCTCGTCCAAAGAGAGGGGACACCGAAGCCTGCGTCTCGAACACATTCTGCTGTAACGCAAGACCTTGGAGGGGAGCCTATGTGTCAGTATATGGGACATGGGATTGGAAGAGGGGAAGGTGAGGAGGGAGAAGAGATGGTGTGGTGAAGAGATGGTGTGGTGAAGAGATGGTGTGGTGAAGAGATGGTGTGGTGAAGAGGAGGAAGTTGTGACAGGGGAGGAGGTTGAGCTGTGAAGGTGAGCCTGGGTATGGGTGGTTTTGGGTAAGTTTGGCAGGTGCTTCTTCTCTTCATGCGCTTGGCTAGCCCCCATTGACTGGGGACGTCAACAAGAAGCCATTGCATTCCAAGAAGATGGCTGCTCCGCGGGGATCGAATATTGAGTCATGGAAGGCAAGAGCGGACTTGTTGTCTGATGTCCAGGACGTAGGCGACTGAAGACGTAGTTTTCGACGCCCACAAAGAAATCGGCTGGATCGTGGACTCATCCTCGAGTCTGAGGAAGAGATGCGCAGGAACGAAGCGATGTTTGTGACGCCAAATAGATTTAACGAGTTCGGGGCTGTAGCCGTTGGGTGGACGGATGGCAAGTCGAGATGGAGAGAGAACATTGAAAACTTCGTCGTCATAGATACCATTTCCTGATCCAGCGCAGAACACTTCTTCCAAAACCACTGCTGCAAACCATCGCACTCTCCTCTAGGTATCATAACCCTCAACATTCCACCCCTCACCATGCTCGTCGCGAACGCCAGCTTCGTCTTCAAGGATGCCGGTAGCATACAAAAGAGGAGGAGGTAGAGAACATTGGGCATCAAAAGATAGGTTGTGCTGTGAGTTACCTTGTGGAGAGACAGGGTGAGAGGGGAAGGGGAGAAATGAGTGGGTTCCCTACCTGTGATAGGTAAACGGGCGGGCTGCGAAATCAGGTGTATCGGAGAAGCAGTGCATGTGGATCTGCGGTGGGGACGAGAATAAGACGATGGTGACAAAAGAGGGAACAAAACGAACCCTAAAATCCTGCAACGCCTCCTCCTTCAATATCCACTCAATATCGTCCTGTATGTATCACGAACGGCCTACGTTGCCTGGCTAGCCTATCTAGGCTAGCCAAGTTCTGCCCCAGGCTGTAGCGGTGAAACACAACAGAGGGGAGAGGCGCCAGTGCCAAGGGGCCTTGCATGAGGGTGCTGAAGAGGCTCTATTGTTGTCGTCTGTAATTATCATAAGGTAAGTGAGTGGAAGGGCTTTCGTTTGCAAGCCTCAAGTTGTGCTTAACGTTGTGATAGCGTCGGATGAGGACTCGTACAAGGCAGAACTTCCTGTGAAAGCCAGCTGTGGGTAGACTTGTCAGCTACCACCATTCTAAGCATGAAAATGGTGTTACCTACTTGAAAAGCCGCCACAATAAATGTGAACTGATGAATTAAGGGCACATTGACCTCACCCCAATAACTTGCAAACGGCCACGAGCCTCTGTTCGCCAGTGA